TATATATATATATATATATATATATATATAATAAAAAAATATATATATATATTTAACGATAGAGAGAAAGAGAGAGAGAGAGAGAGAGAGAAGTTAAAAAATATTTGATGCAAGTATTCGAAGTTTGGAAACAGCGAGCAAGTATTTGACCCCTTCGATTTTTTTATACATTTATTCTCTCAATAACGATAAACCTATCAATTATTCAACATTTCATAATTTTGTTAATAATTCATTTTCCTATAATATTAATCGAAGCAGAACATTTTCACGATTGCGAAATTCCTTTCAAATTACGTTTAACGCGTTTATACTCGTCGATTCTTTGATAACCGATTCCTTTATAGATCTTCATAACCGAGACGAACCTCGATCACTCGTGTCGAAAACGAAACGATCGATCGGGATCGGGGGTCTAATCGCTGAGTAACCAAGGAGATCCTTCCGCTCGAGTACGCTGTTAAGGCCGATTTCTAAAAATCGCAAAAAAGTCGATGGTGCAACTGATAAAGTCCTTGCCGCGAGTGAAAACTAAACTTGCCGATTCTTGGTGCCGTTTCGAGAGATCTCGCCTCGCGGGGACCCTCTCCCTCCGTGCTCCTTGGCGAGGATCGTGAAACCGATCGCTCATAAACACGAAATTACTGTAGTCGTCGGGTTTGTTGCGTGCAAGCCGCACTGGCGTAGCGAATCCGTTGAAAAGTTGCCCGAGGCTTGCTCGAAACCGCCCGATGTTTGACGTTTCTATTGCAACCGATTCCACGATAACCCGTGCTGCATGTGGAATTCAATAATGACGTAATGGCGGCTTAATGGCCGCAACTTCGTCGAGCGGACGAAGAGTACATGTCGATTCCAGTTGGATTCCGAAGCAATGGAAATCTTATAATAGTCGATTTGGAAATTTTATATTCTTATGGATGGAATTCGCTGGGGTTAAATCGAACTCGATTCGTTTTCTATCGATGATCCTATCGATATGTCGTTTATAGATCGTAAAAAAAAAATGGAGTCGTGGCCGCGCCAATGATTCGAAGATCGGAAGAAGAAGAAGGTAAAAAGATCTGGCCCGACCTCGTTGCATCGATGAATTGTTCCTTGGCACGAGAGAGACGATGTATATACAGGATAAAAGCGAACGATTGAACGATTATCT